TTCATTAGCGCCCGCACCTTCGTCATCAGTGTGCGGTTCGTCCGCTCAGCTACGCCCTGCTGCTGATGTGCGTAGGGGAGAGAAATGTGATGCTCGATCCCCTTTTGCGCCAGGTAGCTCTGCATTTGATTGCTCCTAAACTCCGCTGCGCCGTCGGATTGCCAGATTTTTAGCTTCTCCGCGGATTGCCGCTGCGCATGCGCCAACCAGAGGCGGAACACCTCGTAAGCTCTGTCGCGGGTCTCCACATTTGCGACCCATACGTAGCGCGTTCCAGCGTCGATGAAGGTGAGCGTGTATAGCTCATCCTCGACTCCGCAATGCCCCACGTTCAGGAAATCGCTGTACACTTTGTGCAGCTTGGGGTAGCGGTTCGTTCCAGGCTCGAGCAGCGGGAACGGCTGGTGGCTTAATGCAGCTTCGGGGCAGACGGTGCAGTTGCGCGGATGTGTCGCGCCTCTCACTTCAGTGCCGTCAGGGTGGAGTAATGCTCCTGGGGCAAAGACTCCGGCGTCGATGCAGTTCTTAAGTGTGGCACGTGAAGGGTGTCCGAGGCGCTGGTGCCAAAGTGCATTGTCGGCGCGAAAACCGGAGGTGCACATGTAGCGCGCGCGGGCCTCCTTAGGGTCTTCATCAGGTACGGGAGCAGGTTCTGCTGCTGCTTCCTCTGCATCTTCTTCTTCTGCCGCGGTAGTCAGCATCAGCGCCAGAAACTCTCTGTCACGAATCTCAGAGAGTGGAATGTTCGTCCCTGGAATAATTCCGGGCACGAAAGTGGGTTCGCGTGGTTTGGGAGCAGGTCCGTAGACGGTGCGGCGTGGAGTTGATGGTTCGTTGCCCCAGCGGATAGTGTCCCAGGGATCGCGGTGCGGCGGAATGTCAGGGGGAGGTGACGCGAGTGGGATATGGCGCGGGGGACGCCCGAGGGGAACAACTGCAGGTTCTGATTCTCCCCCCTTATGTTCTTCGCGAGAAGTCCCCCCGCCTCCAGCGGAGGCGCCCCAGCCGCTTGTTTCACCGCCAGATGCGGCGCCCCATCCACCGGTTCCGGTTGCCCATGTTCCGCCGGTGTTGCCCCATTCGCTGGTACCGGCCGTTCCCCACCCGCCGGCGCTCCCCCACCCCCCTTCATTGGAGGCGCTTTCTTCTGCTTCGGCGCCCCATGCGGCGCAAGCGAATGTTCCGCGTGCCTCGGCGAGGCTCTGTTGGCGAAGCTCTTCTGCTTCGCGGCGCGCCAGTTCTTCCTCCTGTTCCACGGTGAGTTTTGCCGTGGGGTCGCGCCAATGGGGGCAAATCTGCAGAAAGTCTTCGCGGGTGTAGGGTCGTGGCACGCCACGCGCATCAAAGGTGCTGACGCACGTTCCGCGTAGCATCCCTCGGAGGTGTTGAGAGGGGGGACCGATGAGAGGGTGCTCAGGCGTGCCAAACACGCCATGCATGGTGACTTCGAGTTCCAATTGAGACATGCCTTCTTGTGGCAGCGCGTGGACTTCTGCTTCGGCGATGGCGGCCAGTCCGCGGCCGGCAACGGCGCTGGTTGACGTCGTCGGTATGTGGCAATCCCTGCAGATGCCATCTGTGTCAGGGTCGTGCAGCGCCGTTTCGCGTGGGTGGGGATGGTGCGGCACCCACGGTCTTCCGTCAGGGTGCTTCCAGTCCCTGCGGTGGATGTGCTCGAAGCGTAGTGGCACGAGGTCGATTAACTCGTGCGAGTCGCCGCTGCAGTCGGGGATGTCGAAGTCTAGGACATACACTCCATTCTCGGAGTGTGCTCGTCCGATCTGCCTGCGGGGGAAGTTTCGGGACTCGTCGTGCAGTAGAATGTCGCGCGTCACGTGATCCGTGCTGAGTTCGACGCCGCAGTCCATGAGCTGTGCGGCGGAGAGCAGGTTGAAGCGCAGGTTCTGGACGATCAGCACATCGTTGAGTGTGATGTGCGTGCGGCTTCCGCGTGCCTTGAGCACGACGATGCCTTGCGCACTTGCGCGCAGGCGTGTGTTGTTAGCCACGGTGACGTAGGTGACTGTCGGGGTGGCGACGGCGTTGGATATGTAACGCTCAGAGCCCACCATATGCTGGCCGCAGCAGCTATCCAGGTACCAGGTGTTGAAGCGCTTGTTGTCGTCACGTGCGAGCAGCGCCAGTCGCGGCGTGACGATGTGCGGAGTGTCAAACTTCAGAAATTGTTCGCGCGAGAGCCAGTCAAGTGGCGCCACCCGCATATCAGGTACGTGCGGGGGACTTTCGAGCAGCGGGACTGGGAGATTCCAGTCCTGGGCGTCGTCGTCGGTGAAGTCGTGGCGCGGGCTGAAAGGGTTGTTGTTGTTGAACGCGCCGATGGGGTGCGGTGCGGGCTCAGGAGAGGGTGAGCGCATGCGACGACGACGCGATTCGCCTGTCATGGCCATGTTGCTCATGACGTTGCGTGCTGGTGCAGTCGATGGTGGCTGCTGCTGCTGATGCTGAATTGTTGGATTCAGGTTGCGCGCGGTTGGGGGTTGATACCCTTGGGCTGGACGCACGTCGCCTCGTGCGTCTTGTCGGCCGGACCAGTTGCTCGGATTGGTCTGGCGAGGGCGGGATCGGTACTTGCATCGATCCACCAGGTGCCCAAAGTTCCTGCAGATTTTGCAGTAGAGGCGCCTCGGCCGTCGCTCTTCGGTGTTGTCGGCGTAGAAGGCGAGCCGTTCTCTTTCTCGTCGTGGCGCTGGTCGCTGCTGATCCATATCCCGTTGTTCGACGAGAAGTGCGGCGCAGAGGGCGGCCTCCGAGATGACCCCCTGCTGTCGGAGAAGCGCCTTACAGGGCCGCCACTCTGGGCCGAGCCCTTGAAGCACGATGTTCACGAAGATTTCTTCGGAAATCGAACTTCCTAGCTTCACGATTTGATCGCGAAGGCTCCGACAGCGATTGATGTAGCTGTTGACCTTCTCCCCTGAGACCATTTTGGTCTCCAGCAGCTGCTGAAGCAGTCGACTTGAGGAAACGGAGTCCTTCGGCTGATACACACCGTTCAGGTGGCGCCAGGCGTCGAGGGCTGGAGCAGCCGATGTCTTGTACGATCGGATGTTTAGTTGCTCCGCCGGCGACATGTTGCGAAGGAGAATTCCGTACGCCATCAGGGACTCGTTGTAGTAGCGAGTCCTGGCTTCGTCGGTGTCCTCAGCGGGTTCCGCGTAGCTCCCGTCGAAATAATGGTAAATTTGGGCGTTCTGCAGCAAGAGCTCCAATTCGAAGCTCCAGGTATAGAAGTCTCTGCCGTCGAAACAGGTACTTGTCTTTATTTTTGATATGCTGAGAAACTTTGATTGTGCTGAGAGAATTGCTTCCTCACTGGGACGGGGAGCCTTGGGGGTTGAACCATTTGTGTCAAGGAAGAAGGTTTGCGGGACGGAAATCTGCCCAGTTGGGGCCGGTTGAGATGGTTGCGAGGATGTTCCCGCATCGCCGTTCCGTAATGTTTGGAGTCCTTGCTCCAAGCTGGTGAGCCGCTGAAGGAGTTGAGCGAGAACTTCGGTGCCGATCGTTGTCGTGTTCTCGCTTGTCACAACCGGGTTGGGTTGCGCTTCAGCCGTCAGATTAGTCTGATCACCAGATCCTCCGGCCATTCTCACACGCGATCGCGTGCCGGACGCCACTTTCCGAAAGTCACAATTTTCGGGAGTGGCAGTGCGAAGGATTCCCAAGCCGCTCTCATACCATGCTAGAATCAGAAGTTGATCGTTCCCAGGATCTACTCGGGAAGGTTCGCACACAGAAGAATAAAGTTGGTGGGCCCTTGACCTCAATAGCAGAGTGGATGTAAAATGCTTGAGATGATTAAAACATGCAAATACAGCAAGTATAAATATGAGTACAGGGAAGACGAAACGACCTAGCTAGCCATGTACTCTAAGGGGTACATTCCCTTATTCAAATTCATTCCCAACCGTGCGGCGCGTTCAGTTACGAAACTGTTCCCGCCAAAGCCATCCTGCCTGTAGCTGTTCGATGCCATCTGCTCCGACGGTCCAGATGCGCCTTAACCGTCTGACGCTTCGAGTCAACTCTGACTCTTCGTGTTCACTCTCGATACTGCATGCTTCCTTTTGCTGCGGTGAGGAGTGCACAGTAATGAACAATCGTTACTATTCGTAACAGCGAGGACACCCCGAGGGTATCGCGACGAACCTGTTCGGCCTAATTCGTCGCACCGAACCACTCCCGAGTCGGCTCCGCACCAATCGCAACCATCACCGAGCCATCTTCGCCCTACCTCTTCGCCTAGCTAGGATTTCCCCTATTTAGTCGTGCCTTTCTCATTGTATCGTCATTCAGTAGTCAACCATTCTCGTTATTCGTTTTACTGCGCACTCTGCAAGTTCATTCATAACAGCACCGGTAACAACAGTTCATAACAATGTAAATATTGCAGCGTGCACAGCACGCAACACCTCTGCATGCTCCTGCCGTGCGCCTTCAGCCCAAATGCGGGCTCCGCTCTCCCCCGCTTCCCCCATCTCTGCTGGCCCATCGACTTACTGTGCCTTTCGCGGCACAAGCTGCAACGCGCTACCTCGCTCGCCTGTCGCCATCCCGCCAATCGCAATTTATGCTTTTGCCATGAAGCATGCAACGCTCACGCCAGCATGACGCCAATCTGAGGGCCAAGATCACCTGCTTTCTATTAGCGGGCACATAACGGACCGCACTCGAATCCAGCACTGGCATAAGTGGAATGCAGTTCGAATTGACCGCCAATCTGTCGCCAGCACAGCGCTCAGCTAACATACCTCCCCCACCCTATCTAGGGATTTGTCAAATTCCAGGCGTGTGGGATAAGGCAACTCCTCTGACAGTCCAGTAGCATTAGCAGTTAGTTCACTTCCTCGCCGTACATCCAGCCGCCATCACCAGCGTTCTTGCTGTTCTCACACCGCGATCGCCCGACGGTCTTGCACCTTCTTGCGCGCGTTTTTCTATACCTCGAGTGGCAGGGCAGGTGGGCTGATCGAGTCAGCATGGTGTTCGTCTCCGAAGGTACGCCAACAGCCGTCGACACCTATCCGCACGAAGCATCGCCACTCATCATCGCGCTCTTCTGTCTCTTGTTAAACGGGACAACGATTTTGTCAACTTGTCGTTACGTTAACGGTTTCCGTTAACGTCCGTCTCCTCTCGTGTGCGTTGCCTCGCAGGTCCGTCGGACTCCACGCCGCTCAAGCCCGGCAGCGAGTCGTCCGAAGCTCCCCCGCACGGCAGCTCAGATGCCGCCGCGAGCCACGCGCCAGCCGCCGGCCAGCCCGCCTTTCAGTACACCCACCACCCGCACTACCCCCCCGCACGCGGGGCGTATCCGCCGCAGTTCCCCCCTCCCCCGGGCAGCCCGTCCCCCGTGGTGGTGGTGGTAGCGCACGGGGCGAGCAGCGGCGAGTTCCCGCTGTTCTCCCCGACGCCCATCCCCGGGCTCTACATGCTGCCGCCGCGGGTGCCGCCCCGCGCGGACGAGGTCATTCTTGGCTACGAGACCTGCGCGCCGCCCGTGAGTCGCGTTTCCCCCGCTCGCCGTCTCTTGCTCATCTCGTAAAATGAAGTATTTTGTGCGATTTAGTCGTTTCAGTCGTTAAATAGTTTGATGGCGTGTCCACAAGCTCGCAGCGCGGTTGTGAGAGTGGACGACAGACATCGTCTTCGTCGCACCACCACCTGCCACCCTCCCTTCCCCATCCGCTCGCCCACCTAATGATTTTCACCGCGCTTCCTTCCTTTCCCCATCCCCCTTCCCCCTTTCCCCCACACCTTCTCCCCGCCAGACGGGGTGTTGCGCAACGCAGACGCTGAGCGGCGCGGGGTGGGTGGCGACCATCTTGTTGTTGCTCTTCTGCTGGCCGCTCGTCTGCCTGCCGTGCTGCATCCCACAGCTTCACGAGGTACGGCTTCCGTCACTGTCACTCTCTTTAGTCACATATCATCTTCCACATTCCTTTGCCTGCCACAGTCCCCTCGCCCGCCGCTCTCATGCATTTCGCAGTTGCGTGAGGGGTGGCAGGCACCCCTTGCAAACTCCACCGCTCATGCACCCACACTCACATGCACTTACTCACGTATGCTTGCGCGCACACACATGCAAGTGCGCCCACGTTTCCCTTTATCCGCGTCACCCCCACTCCCCCCCCCCCCCCCTCCCCCGCCCTCCACAGAGGTGCCAGCGCCCCGTGTTCGGCTACCCCCCTGCTGCCCCCGCTACAGGCTTTCCCGCGACCCCCCTCTGACAGGTTTTGCCGGTCCTCGTCCCCCTTACTGCCTCCGCCCTCCACTGCAAACCCTTCTCGGACTGCCCTCCTGCCGCACCTCCACCTACAGCAACAGGCTGCTGCCCCTCTCCTGCGCCAACGCTACCTGCGGGGCAAGGGTGGTGGCCTGCCATGCCATGGTTCCCTGGAGTAGCGGGCTTGTGTTGTGCGCATTCGTGCATTCGTACATGCTGGCATTGCTGGTCAAGGCTTGTGCACTCCATGCATGAACGCAGCCTAAGCATGGCATATGGTAGCATGGCCATAGTAGTTCTGCCCTGCGTCCTTCCGCTAGCTTTGGTGGACATAGTGCAGCCACGTCTGCACTGTCCCACATGTAAATACGGTAACTGGTTCATTCAAGAAGCAATCGTCGCAGCTGTAATAATGTGCAGGCTGTCTTGACCAAGAGGTCATCAACATATCAATGGCCCATTTCTACAAGTTTTGCAGCTAGAGCACCCAGCCACGCAGCACAACCAGTTTTACAGCTAAATGGGTGCAGGCCCAGCAAGGCAAGCATGCACGGAACATTACCAGTGCCATGGGCCGATCTCAGAATCGTAAAATTTTAACCTTGGAGCGTATTCCTACCCTCGTATCAATCGAACCTCATATCAAGCTCTCACTGAAAATTTCCCTATACCCAAAACCTCTCGCTTGTTTTACCAGGCAAAAAGTACAATCTTGATACGAGGTGGCCTGATATGAGGCCGTAGGAATACGCTCCAAGTTGCATCATAACTTGGCACTGCACTGCCAGGGCTTACACACATTACGGCAATTCTCAATCCTCAGTCTGGTGGTTGTGCATGCTACTCCAGCGCCGTCACAGCAGCAGGGGTGACATCACATCACAGGGCGCTCATGTCTTGAAACAGGCGGTGCATGAAGGCGTTGATGCGCGCGTCACACTCCGCCTGCACCGCCGCCACCCGCGCCACCTCTGCTGCCTCTGCCGCCCGCATGGCCTGCACGGCACGCTCCTCCTCCCGCCTGCTCTCCTGCACCGCACGCATGGCAGTGGCTGCCACGGCCAGCTGCTGCCGCCTTAGTTCCTGCGTCATGGCGCGCTTGCCCTCGTATAGCCCCACGGCACGCAGTGCCCCCCGCACTGTGCCCTGCAGGGACGAGCTCGCTCCCTCTGCACCGCCACCACCGCTTCCCACTGCCACCCCTGCTGCTGCCTCACCCTCTGCTAATGCGGGTGGTGGTGCTGCTGCTGCTGCTGCTGCTGCCGGTGGTGCTGATGGTGCTTCTCCTGCTACTGCGTCTGTCGGGTCTGGGGCTGCTGCTACAACCGGTGGTGCTTGTGCAGGCCTTGCTGCTGCTCTGCCTGATGCCACCGCAGCCAGCCTGCGTCGCTTCCCCTCCACCTGTTGGGGAGTCACAGGGATGCCCGCGCCTCTCCCCTCTACCCCCTCTGCTCCCTGCACGTGCACCCCCCCCTCACCACCGCCTCTTCCCTCCACCTCGCCTCGCTGCACCGCCACTCCGCCCTGCACACCCGCACCTCGTACCTCGCCTTCCCCTCTGCTTCTCTTCCTCCCCCCTGCCTTGTCCTCCACCGCCCTGCACGCAGCAAACTTGCCCATCGCATCCCGCACGTGCTGCCTGGGACTGGGCGCCCCGGACTTAACACCGCTCACATCTCCACGTCTCGCCAATTCCTCGCTTCTCCCCGCTCGTACCCTTCCCTTCTCACTTGTCGTCTCTGCTGCCCTTTCCTTCCTCATCACCTCGTGCCCTCCACCACTCCCTGCCCCACTCACACCCTGCACTTGTCTGCAGCCCTCCTCACGTGCTCCCTCAACCACCCTCCTCCCACGCACACCACCTCGCCCCTTGACCTCCTCTCTCGCCCTCCCCCCACCGCCCTCACTCCCCCACTGCCTCAACCTCTTCCTTCCCTCCTCCTCCTCCACCTCCTCCTTCATCTCCCCCTCCAGCCCCTCAGACTCGCTCTCACTCGCCTCCTCTCTCATCATCTCCTCACTCACTCGCACACGCCCATTCCCTCTCAATCGCGTCCGTCTCACACCCTCGTCTGTCCTCCTCCCACTCTCACCGCCCTCAGCCCCTCCCCATGCGCGTCGCCGCTCACGCCAGTGCATGCGCCCCCCAAGCACTGCGCCCGCACCCCTCACATCTCCCCTGCCGCCTTCGCCTACCGCAGCCACGCCGCCCTGCTCACGTGCTTCCTTCACCTCACCACGCGCATCAAACGCCGCTGCCTTCTTCTCCCCTCCCTGCCTCCCTGCTCGCCTCCTCAACCGCTCCTCTCGCTCCCGCTGCCGTCTCTCTCTCAGTTCGTCATGCGAGTGCGCTGAACCACCCGCCGCCCTCCGTGCCGCCTCAGCTGCCTGAGCTGCCGCGGCCAGCCTGCTCCTGCGCCGCGCCTCGCTGGCCTGCCGGTCCCGCCGACGCACCTCTGCACCCGCACGCCCTCCCTGCCCCTCCGCCACACTTTGAAACGCAGAGGCATGGGCAGCGATGTAGGTGCTGGCAAGCAGGGCGCATGCCTGAAGGGCAGTGGTGACAGCAAGCAATGCATGGAAAGAGGGTTGCGTGGAGGGAGGTTTGAGCATGTACAGAAGCATACTGGGATGAATGGGGATGGTTTAAAGGGTGTGGATGCACACAGGGAGACGAGATGGCACAACAGAGGAATGAGCACCACCACAGCGCCATGGCAACACATGCTCTTCTCAACAAACCACTGAATCACCTCACCGCACCTCCTTCCACCGCCCTCCATTGCAGCGTCTTCACTTACTGCCTCTTTATCCCTCACACGCTCCTCTGCACACCACCCGCATGCCAGCTACACCAGCAAGCAGCATGCAGTGGGCAGCAAGCACACAGCGCACCACTCACCGAGTCTTCACTCCACTCAGCGCGGTGCAGCACGCGGGCCAGCCGGGGCAGCACCATCGCGCTGCGCGCTGCACCACCACGTGCCTCCTCCCCCCGCTCCTCCCCCTGCTCCTGCCCCTGCTCCTGCCCCACGGGCTCCTCACACCGGTCGAACCCCGCCACCACCAGCAGCTCCTCCAGCCCGTCACTTGACTCGCCGCCCTCGCTGCTGCCCGTCGCAATGCCATGCACGTCACCATTATGCCCACCATCTCGCCCTGCTCGCCGCTCCTCGTCGCCCTCAACCACTCCATCCCCCCCTTCCACGTCCCCTCCCCTGCCTGCTCCCCCATCTCGCCTCGCACCCTTTCCCCCTGCCAGCGCCCCCTCCCCACGCGTCCGCCCCTGCCTGCGCGCCTCTGCCTCCTGCGCGCCCTCTCCTCGCCTCGTCCCCCTCTCCCCCGCGCCACCACTGCGCCCGCCTCGCGCGCGCGCAGGAACGCCGCCACCATCCGCCGCTGCTCGCCCTCCCCTCCGCCCTCTCCGCCCTCTCCGCCTGCGCCCTCCCCCGTGCTGCCGCCGTCACCCGCCTCGCCAGCGCCTCTCACGGGCAGCGAGCAGCGTCCGCCAGCAGCGGCGGCGGCCTTGAGCAGCACCAGCAGGTGGCGCGCGCGGAGTCCCGCCTCGCCCTCACTGCCTGCGCGCTGCTCGCTCCGCCCCAACTCATAGCCACCCGCCTTCTCCCCTTCCCCTCCCTCCCCTTCCCCTCCCGCTCCCTCCCCTTCCTCTCCTTCCCCTTCAACTTTTTTTTCTTCCCCTTTCTTCTCTTCCCCTTTCCCTTCCCTCCTTTCCCCTTCTCCTTCCCCTGCCCCCCGTTCCTCTTCCCTTTCCCGCGCGGCAGCAAGCGCGTTCACGCCTAGGCCACGCAGCGACAGCCCCGCACCTCCGCCGGCCGCCCCTCCGCCAGTCGCCTCCAGCGCGGGCGCTGTGCGCGCCTCGCGTGCCGCGGTGGCAGCACCAGCGGTGGCAGCACCAGCGGTGGCAGCACTAGCGGGAGCACGTGCAGGGTGCGGCGTCGCCAGTGCCGAGGGCGCGCCATGGGCGTCAGCAGCTCCGCTCGCTCCTTGCGCCTCGTCCGCCCTTCCCCTCTCCACCTCCGCCCCCCTCGTTTCCGCGTGCCCCGTTTCCGCTGGCCTCGATTCCGCCTCCCTGCTTTCCGCCTGACCCGTTTCTGCCCGCCTAGTATCCGCCTCACCAGCTTCCGCCTCACCAGCTTCCGCCTGCGCGACTTCCGCCGGAGGCGCGTGCGCGAGCCACCCGGCGCCGGCCACGGGGAGTAGCTCGCCCAGCTGCGCCTCGTCGCGCGCCTCCTGGCCGCCGCTGCTCGCCTCCTCCTCCTCCTCGTCGCTGCTGCGGCCGCCGAGCCATTCCGCGTCACCACCCCCATCCCCCGTGCCACCCCACTCACACCCGCCTCTCCCGCCTCCACTCTGCGCGTGCCGTGAGCAGTTCATCCGCGACTCGCCGGCAGCACGGGAGCGTCGCGTAACGCTCGCCCGCGCCTCTCGCGCGCCAAGAAACGCCTCGACCATTCTTCGCCTCGCCTTCTCCGCGCTTTCGCCAACAATTTCGCCAGAGCTCGCCAACGGCGTGGAACAACTACGAAGGAAAGCAAGAAGCTGGCGCGACGAGATCACATTTTCGCATTTACTAAAGCCCTCGTCGCCACCACTGCCTTCCGCATGGCAGCTCGCCCGGACCTCGTCGCGACGGCGCTCCTGACTCATTGAAAAAACCGCCGCCCTCGGAAATAAAGCTCTCTTGGGGCTGGCTGGCTGGCTGTCCCTTGGCCTCCCCCTAGCGGAGTTCGCCGTGAGTGGTGCACGTCGCCACGTAGCGCAACTGGATTGCTTGGACCGACGAATGGTATACCGGACTAAACTACAGGTTTTAGAGGTTTCCCTGTTCAGTTCGGTAGCAAACCTAAATTTTCGGTTTCACAATTTGCTGGTGCCATTTCCAACTTTGATTGAAACACTAACAGTTTTGATACACTGCTGTACACGGCCAACATTCCCAAAATCCTAGCCATGAGCAGCATTTAACTGGTGATTCCATGAGCCATCCATGTGCATCACAGTGGGCAGTGCAGTGGAGCGCATGATAGCGGTGGGCGCAGGCATGGCGATGCGCGTGATGGTGACGGACGGATGCCCGGCTGGCTTCGAGGTGACATGGTGGGTGGTGGGGAGTAAGTGAGGGGGATAAGTCAGGGGCGGATGGGTAGCAGGGCGGGGAGCAGTGGATGAAGGGTTAGGGAAGCGGGGAAGGGAGTCGGGAATGAGGTGGCAGTGCAGGGAGGCACATGCCAGCAGAGTAGTGAGTGGAGGACAGCCCTGTGCCTCGTAATGCATGCCACAACAAGCCTCCTTGCAATCACTCCATCACCCCTGTGCATATGGCATGGCCTGGCATGGCATGGCATGACACGGCCACACAGCCCATGCTGGGGGCATCACCACCACCCCACACCTGCCGTGTGGCACAGCCGCTCACTGGTGGCGCAGCGCAGGCGGCGTCACTGGGGAGAGCGCGCGTTCATGACACGGTACGACAAGTCCACGGCCCCGGCTGCCATGCATGCAGGGAAGGGAGGGGACAGGGGCACACGAATGTGAGGAAGAGGGAGGGGACAGGGGCACAGGAATGTGAGGAAGAGGGAGAGGGCCAGTGGCTTCACAGCATGGAAGGCGGCATTCACGCCACTTGCCATTCACGCCCGCAACAAACGCTGCGTGGTGGGATGTGTTTCTCAATGCCGATGTTCTCGGTGCAATGCACGCTAGCAATGACGTGCACAGGCAAGCTCAGAGGCTGGTGAATCGTGAATGATGATCGCATGAATATCAAATTGGCCTGCCACGTGATCAGGCAGCCACGTGGGTGGGCTGCCACGTTATCAGACTGCCACATCATCACGCTGCCCTACCTGCGAGCACGAGCGCGGTGACGGCGTTACCAACGGTGTTGCAGGCGGCGAGGGCGGCCTTCTGCGGGTTGTACTTGCGCAGCGCCGCGTCGTCCTCCACCAGCTGCGCGCGGGGAGAGGGGAAGAGGGCCGGAGGCGGGAGGGGGGACAACAACACGACAGCCATGAGGCTTTGTGACCGGCGGCCAGCGAGCGCGATGGCAAGAGGAAGGGCGTTTCTCGAGCGCAGAATGCGAGATACGTGTGACGCGGCAAGCGCGCCTCGCGCGTCGCGCACTCACGGTGGACTGCGCGGCCAGGGGGGGCTACAGCAGTCGGAGGGAGATGGCAGCATGAAAAAGATCGAAGACCGCGCACAAGGCGAGACGCGGTAAGATCGACGGCTACGCTCAGCTCGGTGTGGGGCTCACTCGCTGCTCGCCTCACCCGCTGCTCGTCTCACCCGCTGCTCGTCTCACCCGCTGCTCGTCTCACCCGCTGCTCGTCTCACCAGCGTCTCGCGCGAAGCTTTCGCCGCCTCCGTGGAGAATCGCACGCGCGCACTCGTCGCGGCCTGCACTACCTGCCGCGCGATGCGAGCCGCGTGCGCCATGGCGAACCGGCGTGAGTGCGAGACGATCGGCTCGCAGCAAGTGACGGCACGCGAGTAGAGGTCACGTCACAGACGAACGGCGGTCTACGTACGAGACGGTTGACGCAGGTACTGCTGGAATGGCGACTGGCGCGGGCAGATGTGGAAAAAGGTATGAGAAATAGGAGCTGTGGAGATTCTTTAGGGTAGGGCTCAGGCTCATAATTTAGGGCGTGTGACTTCAGGTTCGGGTTTGCTTGTGAGAAGTTGAGCTTTGTGTGGTTACTGAAGTCGCATGCATCATCTCTGAAACGGGCGAAACACGAAAGTTCGTCGAGAACGAAAGCTAAAAAGGACTGTCGCCAGGCGTTTAAATTTTCCTAGTCGTCAGACGACGATATTCCAAGGCGCAGCAGATGTGATTGGTGCATACGAAATCGTCCCTCCAAGTTTTGGATCGCGACTGTGCAGGGGATACAGTTAGCCGTATTCGATCGTGTAGGCCGAATGTCGCATGTTAGGGCGTGTAACTTTTTCTGTTTTTGCATGTCCGGACGGAGCCTCCAAACCGGCCAGACGGAGCTCCGTCCGGACGCTTGGGAATCAGGTCCGGACAATAGGGCGTCCGGACCACAGCACCTTCGAAAAAAATAATTTCGCCGCGAAGTATTAAGGTCGTGTCCGTAGGGATGACATGTCAAATGGGCAGTGTCAATTTGGCATTTTGACACTCAGCCAACATTGTTGGCAGAGTGTCAAGAATTTGCAGGTTGCCAGCCAATACAAATCGTCGGGCACTTTCTGTTTTGGCACATCATACCTACAAACAAGAGAAGATTGTCGCAGCTGCATATCTCACGACCAGGTACTGCCCAATCAGCAGACACCTTCTCCAATCATCTTTCTTTCGATTCGTTCACTGCCTATGAGGTCTACAAATGACAAGTTCTCCAACCAATGAAATTGCGTCGCTGATGTTCGCACATGCGCTTCGACTTGACACTACAGCTACAGTGTTTGACACTCTAGCTCGAAAGCGCTTCGGGTTGACACGCCCTTGTTGACATGTCATCCCTACGGACACGAACTAACATGAATTACAGAAATCGTACAGCCATTCAAATTTTCGCCAACAAAAATCCGCGACACGTTATTGGTTGAGAAACCAACCCAATTCGTGCCCTAACCACAGTGCAGCCAAATCCGGCGGTCCGAACTGCCGTTCAGACTTTGTCAGCAGGTTGTCCGGACCACTTTTTGGTAGAAAAGTGTCAGATTTTGTCTGGGCGGTAACGACGTCGCAGAGGGTCTTGCGAACGTCTAAACGAATTTTCACGAAAATAGTTACCCTACCATCCGTCGTGAAAAGGCTACACGCCCTTATGTTATGTTTTTGCTTGAGAGGGTGTCTCAGATGTCTGAGTCCACGTGAGTCTGGTCGGACCTGGCGGACCAGCTCAAGAACCAGCGCGTGAACCAGGGGCAGGCCGGGACCAGGATGCAGGGCTTGTAACCCCGTTATAGCGTTCGAATGGCACTAAAACGGTGCCATTTATTTGGTCCTCCAGACCAGTCCGCGCCTGGTCCGTAAACAGTGAGTGGTCCAACATTTTTCGTGAATTCGTGCGATATTTTTGCTCGGACGAAGAGAAAAGGTAACTCGATTTCAATTTCGTCGCTACTGCTGCCACTCGCAATTACTATGCAGCCAGTACGCGACGCATCAGCCAGACCAGTCCGTGTTTGGAACAACGCTGGTCCGCCAAATTGGTCCGTCGGACCATAACCCCCAGACCAGGCGTAAAAATTCTGGTCGCGGACCAGATCCAGCGGACCCTTCACATGACACACGTCTTGAGGTGTGTTGGTGGAGGAAAGTAGGCTTCTTTCCATGGTTTGTTGCACCTTGACATACACTCCACTTTGGGGAGTGGACGTACAGAACGTTTCGATAAGGACACGTCCCAAATAACACATCGAACGTGTGGCGGATCGAAAGTGGATGTACAGTAGCTTCGCCGTTACATGTATCCCTTGCTGATATAACCGAAGGATCAAGTGAATAGGATAATTCTGCTAAGTTTAGGAGGAGACAATAAAGTCTCTGTAGTGACCTTGTTGAATAATAGTTGAAAGAGAACAAGATGATTAAAAGGTAGAAGTACAAGGGATTAAATAGCAAACTAGCTAGCCATGTACTCTGAGGGGTACATTCCCTTATTAACTGTATTGCATAACTACAGTAACCACGACTATTGCTATTCTCGACAGTTACCATGTTGCAGCCAGCAACTGTTGCGCGGTTACTTGGCTGGTCAAGGGTCACGGCCGTTGACTGCCCTCGGCGGTTGACCTTCGGGTGACCCTCGACCTTCCGCATGCTCTATATGAGCTATTGCGGTACTGGTGCAGTTGCCTGGTTCTGCTAGCAGCTGATGCGTTAGTGGGATACCTTCGGGAATGCTTAAAATGACCTTTCGGTTATTCCAACACTCCCCTTCATCCCTGAAGGTGGGCCACGTGTGATTTCTTGGTGATCCCGCTGAGGTTGGCGCAGTGTTGAAATCGCTGGCGTGGCAATTTCTTCGTCAGGAAATCAGCTGCCATGTCACCGGTTGGGCAATACGTGAGTTTGACTATCCCTTTGTCGATTTTGTCCTTGACAAAGAAGTAGCGGAGTGCGATGTGCTTGGTGCGGTTGACGAAGCCGGGCTTGTTCGCGATCTTGATCGCGCTCTGATTGTCGCAGAGTAACGTGAAGTGCCCATTCATCGTCACTTTCACTTCTTGCAGGAGTTCCATTAGATACAGTCCTTCGCGAACGGCTGCACTGGCGGCGATGAACTCAGCTTCAGCTGACGAAAGAGCGATGAGTTCCTGCTTCTGGGAGTTCCAGGAGATGAGTCCAGCAGGTTGGAGTTGGAAGATAAATCCTATGCGGGAGCGTCTGTTGTTAACATCCCCTGCGTGGTCAGCATCTACATAACCATGGAGCTGCAGAGTAGCGGTGAGGTTAGCTTCGTAGGTGAGGCCGACGTCGGGAGTTGAGATGAAGTACTGTAGTGCTCGGCGTAGATCCAGTAGATTCTCCCCTTCAGGTCGCTTCAGGTACTGTGCGAGCTGGCTTGCGACGTAGGAGAGATCGGGCCGGCACGTGACGGCGGCAAACAAGAGGCATCCCAGCTGCTGTTGGTAGAGCCGATGATCGTCGATGGAGAGGGGTGTGGTGTTCGGCTCATGATTAGGAGGAGTGCGGTAGGGAGTGGTGAGGTTGATTGGTGCGATGGCGAACTGTTTCGCGAGAGTTTCGGCGTATTTGGCGGCAAAGAGGTGAATAGAAGAGGCAGACTGAGTGACATTAAGCCCCAGGAACTGTGTGACGTTGTGATTGATCGTCACCTCAAGTTTCTCCTTGATGTCAGTTTCCAATTGGTCCAGCAGCTCCGTGTCATTGCCAATGTAGAGGAGATCATCAACGTAGGCAACGAGGAGAATGAACTTGTCGCGCGATTCCCGGCGGTACATGCCGAGGTCATGTGGTAGTTGGACGAAACCAAGAAGAACGGAGTGGAGATACTGTTGCCACTAGGCGAGGTGCCTGCTTGATCCCGTAAAGGGATTTCTGAAGGAGACGCACGGCGCCATCGTTCTCTTCAAAGGCATGTGGCTGTTTGACGAAGATGATGGCGTCAACAGGGGCGTAAAGGAAAGCGCTGCCGACGTCGATTTGGCGGAGCGGTCGCTGTTTGACGGCTGCGAGGCAGATGAGGATGCGTACCGAGGTGTGACGTCCGACAGGTGCGTAGGTGAGGGTGAAGTCTTCTAGGTGCGTTTGCTCAAAGCCGCGCACCACCCGCCGCGCCTTGTATTGTCAATGCCGCCGTCAGCCAGGGTCTTGATGCGGAAGACTCATTTGCCACTGAGAATTTTCCTCCCCTTTGCTGATGACCGAGGGACTAGCTTCCAGGTGCCACGCCTTTTCAGTGACGCGACTTCTGCGGCCATGGCTGCTCTCCACTTCTCGCTGTCGGGGCCAGACAGAGCTTGGCGAACAGTCGTTGGTTCCTTGGGAGAGTTGTGGAGAACAGCGACAGCGAGACCGAGAACGTGGAGGCCGGTTTCGTTGGTCTTTTCGTAGTGGAGGCGGTCGTAGTCGTGGAGGCTGGTAACTTCGACTACGTCATCGTCACTTTCGTTGCCGAGGCGGAGGGTGTCTTGCGAGGGGTTGGGCTTTGGCAACTCTGCATCCGGGGATCGGCGCGCCTCACTGGTATAGTTGTGAGCTTCGCGAGCTGTATCATCCGGATCGAATTGGTGTACAGGGATGAAGGTTGGAGTTTGGAGCGGGCTTGTAAGGGGGATGCTGTGTGCTGTATCCATCGGGGTGACATCGGTTGCGTCTGCATCTTCCGCCAGGTCAGCTTCGTCGTGTGACGTGGCGAAGCTGCGGTGTCCCTCGAAGACCCTCTCTGGCGCCTTGTCAGCTTCCCGGTGCTCTTTGAACAGTGGTAAGGTCAGCTTCTTGTAGAAGATGCAGTCACGTGATTTCGTCACTTCGTGTGTCGCGTAGTCCAGCACGATCCACGCCTTGTATTCCTTTTGGATTCCGAGGTGGATCCCCCATCGTGCCCGGTCAGAAAACTTTCCGGTCCTTGCAGTGTGGGGTCTGTACTGTACCATGCAGCCGAACACCCGAAGCAGACGCGTGTCCGCTTTTCTGCCCGTCCATGCCCTGTAAGGGGAGTTGTTGTTCTCGAGGCTTCGGGAGGACAACAAGTTGTGCAGCCGAACAGCGTGATTCATCGCAAACGGCCAATATTTGGTTGGGATGGCCGACTGCTTCATCAGGGCTTTCATCCGTGTAGCGAGGCTCCTGTTTGTCCGTTCTGCTACTCCTTGTTGCTCGTGAGCGTAGGGCAGGGACACCAGGTGCTCAATCCCCTTCTGCTTGAAGAGTTCCTTGAACTCCGTTGAGAAAAACTCTAGACCCTCGTCTGTTTGGTAGCTCTTCAGCTTCAGCC